GGAGGAGGAGGAGGAGGAGGAGGAGACTGAAACGTAGGAGGAAGAGGAGGAGGAAGAGGAGGAAGAGGAGAAACAGGAAGAGGAGGAGAAGGATAGGGAGGAGGACTAAGAGAAAAGGGAGGAGGCGGGCACGTGATCTCTGTTAGTAACTTTTTGTGATAAACTTTAATCCAAGTTTTCAGTTACAGCCATGATAATATTACAAGTAAAATCTTTAAACCTTTGCCCTCACAAGGCTCAAAATTACAGTAAAAACCCTTGCCCTCACAAGCATTTGGGAAGAAATCCAAAGAAACTGAGTGATAAACATCGCCGATCGGCGTTCTGCGACGAGAGCGAAAGTCCTGCCTGCGTTCTTGCCGATCGGCGAGATGTGACGGCAATTGTATAAAAGGAAAAGCTAATAGTGACAGATCAGCTGTGTTATTCTCCCCCCGTTTACTTTTCTACAGCTGGCTCCCTTCAACCGCCACCCCCCGGTAATCACCGTGGGGTACCCAGACATCCGCTGGCACCAGACAGCTGACTACGGCTACGTGCCCAATCCCAAGATGCCTAAAGTGTTCATGGCCGTGGCACTGGATCTGCCTCATTTCAACTCCACCTACGGCGCGTAAGTTTCTGGCCAGTTTGATGAATTATTGGTGCACGTAGGAGACCACCAGAGTTCGATTCCAGACTGGGGGAGACGTTTATTTAGTGTCTCGGTCTTTCTGCTTGGTACTGTCGCTTGATGATGAAGACATCCCTTGGCTTTTAAATTAGTTGTTCACTTTTAGATGACTCGTTCGGTATTTTTGTGTAATAAGGACATTGTATAAGCTATACAGACATTGTTATGTCTAGGCATCTGGTACCTGTGAGGAAAACGGGTAAGAGGGTTTAAGAGAAATAAAAAAAAGGGGGGGGGGTTTAGAGGGATGCAAACACAAGCGGATAACTTTAGAACGACAGATGTACGCCATTGGCCGATGTTTATAGTAACAGCCATCTTGTTTGACGTCATTGACGGATTCCCACTTTGTTGTCGTTCACGGTGGCAACACGACCGCAAAGCACTATTGCAGTATTTTAAAAGCCTGTAGCTTACAGTGGCGAGGTGGCGGAGTGGTTAGTGCGCTTGTCTCCAAAGCAGAAAGTCCAGGTTCGAGCAATAGTGCTTTGCGGTCGTGTTGCCACAGTGAACGACAACAAAGTGGGAATCCCTCAAGGACGTCAAACAAGATGGTTGTTACTATAAATATCGGCCAATGGCGTAAATCTGTCGTTCTAAAGTGATCCGCATGTGAAGAAAACAGTGTGTCACTCACAGGTCTGTGTAGACGGGACACATTATTGCCAAGGAGAAAAGTGGCCTTCTTTGACGGTGGACATTTTGTACAGCTTTAATATAGTGTACTTTTTTAATGAAAGAAAAAACACACCGAAAGGGGAAAATGGGGTGGGGGTGGTTGGAGGGGGGCAGGGGCAGTGGCTGTTTCTACAGGCAATTGTCGTGTTGTCCCTACAGGGGGCCATAAGAGCAGATTTGACAGGTGGTGGGTGGTTGGCGAGTGCTCTGGTGTGCTTTGCTCCTTCTTTCCTATCAAACAAATTATGTTGTCTTTATCTCTTCTCCTTCTTTTTTGTGTTTGTTACTCTCTTGTAACACCTCTAATCTAATAATAATAATAATAATAGATAGCATTTGTATAGCGCATATCCCCGCTCAACAGCAGGCTCTATGCGCTTTACACTATATCTTCGGCATTTATATGAACCTTTTGCGATGGAAGTGCCGTAGAACTCTTACTAAAACAAAATAGGTTTGACTATATTTATTGGTCTCTGTTTAGCCAAAAAGAGTAACCATATTTTTGTTCCTCGAAGAGACGGAATCAGGTACTCGTCAGATTTAAGGCATATAAAACTATTGCTATCGTCTTAAAGCTTGCTCATTTGTATTGCTTTCAATGAAAAAATATCTATCTATCTTGAATGGAGGTTGAGATATTTGCGATTGAAAGAGGTGGGGGTCGCTTGGTAAAATTAGCGAGAAAGTGGCAGCGAAAGTTTGGCGACTTTCGCAGCTTGAGAGTCTTTGGAAACTAAACTGAAAATTTACATTTTTATATGCCTTTATTCACAGAAATGTGTTATTAAATGGACATTAAAAATGTTGAGCCATAAAAAACACAAAAAAACACAACAACAACAACAACAACAAAAACAACAAAACAACAACACAAAAATAAACAAACAAACAAAACAAATAAAACAAAACAAACAATTGATAAAATTGTCAAACCGATGGAAAATCGCCGTTTTCTTCAATTTAATCATTTCGACGAGCGCTTGATTTCACCACACCTACCCACATATTTTGATCTTGCCTTCTCTCTCTCTCCTCAGCATCCACCCCATGCACAAACTGGATGTGGGAGCCCGCCTGGCGCTGGGTGGTCTAGCCGTGGCTTACAACCAGAAGGTGGTCTACCAGGGCCCGTTCCCCAAGTCAGGCTACTTCTCTTCCCTCGGCTATGTGCTGGACTACGGATCTACCTGGACACTGGACGTGCGCAGTCAAGATTTATTCGAGGTGAGAGACTGGGGGGGGGGGGGGCGGGTCTAAGTTCAGTTTTAGTAAGAGTTCTACGGCACTTCCAACACAATTAGGCCAGGCTATGTGCTGACTATGGATCTACCTGGACACTGGAAGAGCGCAGTCAAGATTTATTTGAGGTGAGAGTGAAAGACTGTGTTGGTAAGTGTTTTACGGCGCTTGCAACTGCATAAGGTCATATGAGCGCGCAAGACACATTAAACATTTTCAGTAGGTAGGAAATTTTGAATTTTGCCCGGGTGGTGGCCGAAGCCTACTCTTATCGATTTCAGACTACCAAGGGATCTTTAACGTGCGCAACTTGCACACGGGACCTCCGAGATTTTTCGCCCTTGTCCGAGAAGGCAAGGTGTTAGATCTTTCCTACCAGAAGATCAGGGGTATGGTTGAAAGGCAGCAGTGAGAATAAATCAAGGAGTAGCAGTAGAAAGGCTGCAGAAAGAGTCCGGAGCCCAGAGGACGGGGGAAAGGAGGTGAGGGGGTGGGGCTGAAAGTGGAGACAAAAGCAGACGACATGAGAGACTGTGTGTAAAGAGGGGGGGGGGGGGGGGGTTGTTGTTGATTCTTAAATTTAAGTTTAGTTTTAGTAACAGTTTTACGGCACTTCCAACACAATTACGACAGGCTATGTGCTTGACTACGGCTCTACCCGGAAGCTTGGCGTGCACAGCCAAGATCTATTCGAGGTGAGAGTGGACAGACTGTGGGTTTTTGTTAAAGTTTAGTTTTGGTAACAGTTTCTGTGGGGTTTTCTTTGTTGGGTTTTAATATTAAGTTTTAACTAGAGTTTTACGGCACACAATTAGGCTAAGCTATATGCTGGATTACGACTCTACCTGGAAACTTGAGGTGTGCAGCCAGAATCTATTCGAGGTGAGGGTGAGAGGCTGTGGCGTTTATCTTTGGTTTTAATTTTAGCTTGAGTTTTACGGCACTTGCAATGCAATTAGGCCAGGCTGTATTTTGGACTACAGCTTTACCTGGAAAATAGACGTGCACAGCCAAGATCTACTCGAGGGAAGTGTGAGATGGTATGGAATACATAAAAGGAAAATGACTGTTTAGTCTCCAGTTTTATACTTATTATTTTTTTAATGAATATTGGAGAGTGTACCGAGCAGTTTTATGAAGAGTAAGTCGAAACCGTGACCGTTGTAGTTGCTTTATTATTTTCAGTAAATTAGTTTTAGCGCTGATTAAATCAAATAACAGCTTGTACTGTGTGCTTCCCAGGAAGTTAAGATTGTTTCAAAATCAAAATTGCTATCAGGTCCACTAGGGCAATAATTATAGACTGTAAAGCGCATAGAGCTTGAGGTTGAGAGGAAATTCTGGCTATACAAATTAAGCTATCTATTATTACGTGCATGAACGCTACATTGGTGACTTCGACGTGATCTTGTCTGACTGCAATAAAACTAACTAGGTGACTCTGACGTTTTCTTGTCTGGCGTGCTTTAATACTACACGGGTGAGGCGTGCTGACAAAATGAGTAACTTCTTGCAATCCAAGAATGGAGATATCGCTCGAAAATTACTACCGGGGTCAGATTTATAGGTCTATAACCGATGCCATTTTGTTCAAGACTACCGTGTCTTTTATTATTCCATACTAACAAATTGTACAAACTCCACCTATGAAGTTGATGTTTTAATTTTCATTAGGTAACAATCCGAGAAGTAACCCATTTTATCAGCACACGTCACAATTATTATTACGGTGACTTTGACGTGATCTTGTCTGGCGTGCATTAACGCTACATTCCCCTGACTTTCTTCTGATTTCTCACGCCACAGTTCTTCTGTGAGCCCAAAAACGGCGGTGCTGGGAAATGGGTGGCCACCTGGCGGACAGCTCTCAACTCGACAAGCATCACCTTCGACACTAAAGTCTGTGGCGGTGACCAGAGGATCAGGGGCTTGCGCTACGACTGGCTGACTACGCCGTGTTACTTCAAGAAGTGTGCCGTCTATTCCACCGTCAACAGCCTCCCCGCCCCTCCCTTTGTCTTCAAGGCCAATCCGGGAGAGAACGAAGTGAAGTTTTCTGGACCTTTCGGAGACGGTCGTCTGGAGTTTTAACTTCACCCTCGGTCCTTTCTCTCTCTTTAAAAAAAAATCCCAGTTTTCAGGATGCTTATTTTTTCTTGTGAAATGAAATGGTATAGGTTTAATGCCCGTATCAACACTATTAGGCTATTTAAGAGACGGGACCTCACGATTACGGGTTCGGTAGCCTAACCACTAGGCTAGCGCCGCCAATTTTGTCCTCTCTTGTCTTCTTTGCCTCACCGTTTTGCACAAGAGAGAGAGAGAGAGAGAGAGAGAGGCACTGATCACTGTTATCTGCTTTTAAAGACTTCCAAAAATGTTAAATCATCCTGATAGATACAGTACTTTATCATCATAGTCTTATACCCTTTCTGTTGGAAGAATCACCAGTCTGCGATCTTTTTGTCGTTTAAAAAAACAAAAAACTTTCTTAGCAATGAAGTGTTTGTTTCAAGTTAAGCGTTGTCAGTGTTTTTCTAAAAGGTGACAACATTGTGTTATATTACGTTAACCTCACCCAATTTTGTCATTTTTAATGTTTGTCATTGTTATATTATTGTGTTTATTACTCAAATGAATAATTTTGAATAAAGACAAATCTTTTAATGTAATTTTGTTGTTGTTGACTTTGAATCTTGTATTATCTTGGACCTGGTCTATTTGTCCGTAAAAGTAAGACAGTGTATGAGTTTAACGCCCCCATCAACACTGTTCTATCAAGAAGGTTATTTAAGAGGCAGGACCTCTGAGTTTAACGTCCATCTCTGAAAGGACCGAGCCAAACAGGGAAATTCGTGTAAAGTGCCTTTCCCAAGGACGCAACGTCGGACCGAGCTGAGGCTCGAACCCCCGAACCCGCAATCTCACGATTATGGGTTCGGTAGCTTAACCACTAGGCTACCGACGCCTACATCCCCCCCTACCCTGTCTTCCTTGCCACAACGCTTTACACAAGAGAAAGAGGCACCGATCACTGTTATCTGATTTTAAAGGCTTTTAAAACTGTAAAAACCATCCTGATAGATACAAAACTTTGCCATAGTCTTATACCCCTCCTGTTGAAAGAATCACCTGACTGCAACCTCTTTGCTGTTGTTGTTGCTGTTGCTGTTGTTGTTGTTGTTTTTGTTGCTATTGTTGTTGTTGTTGTTGTTGTTGTTGTTGTTGTTGTTGTTTTTCTTAGCAATGGGGTGTACTGTTGAAAGAAACACATGTCTGCAACCACTTTGTCGTTAAAAAAACCCCAAAACTTTCTTAGCAATGAGGAGTTTGTTTCAAATAAAGTGTTGTCAGTGTCTTGATTGTCATAATGTTTGCCATTTTCATTATGTTTATAACAGCAAATGAATTATGAATAAGGACAAATCTTTAAATGTATTTTTTTGGTTGACTTGAATCTTGTTTTAGCTTGGAATTCTTCTACTGATGGGCCCTTACTTATGTCAGTCTAGTAAAGGTTTCACGACGCTCGCAACTACAACCACAGTGAGTGGTAGGAGGGCGCCACTGGTAGGTCCTGCTTCTTTTCTTTCCCTCTGTTGTTTCTGTCCGTCTGACTGTCTTACTTTTTCCCAGCACTAAATGGCAATTATTGTGTCGATGTGCTTCTCTATATTCAAATTAAAAATCGCAACAACATGAGGTGGTGACCCCATATTTGCCCCAAGACCAGTTCAGTGATGAAAAAGGAAGCGATTTGTCAAGTCAAGGAGAGGCTTATCTCGTGTTATGTAAAATGTGAGGAAACAGAGTTCAGTAATCTGGCCTTTTATAGTGTAAAAACGTGGCGTCGTTGGTCTTGTGGTTAGGTTGTTCGTCTCGCAGCTAAAACATCATGGGTTCGAATCCTATGACAAGCCTGATGTTGTGTCCTTGAGGAAGGAATTTTACACGAGTTTTCCTCACTTCTCAAAGTTGGGCATAGATACTAAGAAGGCTATAGACTGCGAAAGGTCTTACCAGTTTGTTAGTATTTTAGCTCTTAATCGGCGGCTTGCATTGTATGCTTCCGGGGAACCTGAAATTTGTATGAGTGTCCCAGGGTCGGCTGGGGTAATACTAGATTTTATGCGCTTAGGGCGAGCTGTAGAATGTGGGTATGCATTACACAAAAATATGCATAAATGAAATTATTAGCATCAAATAAATCGACTGCCTTTAAAATCTCCTTCTGGTCTCTCATATTATGGGTGGCCTTTTCCTGGAAGAATTACGTGTAAGACCAACATGTATTTTTTTCTTCTGTTGTTTTACAATCTATTGACTTTTTTCTTGTCCCAGGGCTATTCGTGGATAAAGCAGTGTTTAGATCGGTATGTAGGCCTACGGGAATGAGGCTATCAATTATTTTTATTGCTTTATAAACTGCGATAGGCCTACTGTATATTTTTTTCTAGACAACTGGTGGCATCAGAGTTAAGATACACGAGAACTCCAAGGTGAGCTCTTCTTTGGCGTTCTATGACGTCCTTATCTCTTACTTGCTTTTTTACTTTGTCTGTCGTCTTACACTGCAAGGTGTCGAGGAAAGACGCAGTTATCGGACGTGGGTCAGGGGTGTCGCTGTTTGCATTGCCATGTTGTTCTTTTTAGATCCTCTTTTACTCCGTCGTTCCACCTTTTTCTCGACCTTCCTCTTGCCTTGAGCTTGAAGCCGTTGTATTCAATGAAATGACAACTTTCCCTTTTTTGTACTGAAGATATTGAACTCTGTGAAATCTTGATCAAGTTCTTGCATACCATATTTAATCAGAATGAACTGAAGGCTGAATATATTTCATTTCCAGAAAGAAAAGTCCTGAAATTGGTTTATTACAATTATTTTAAATGATATGTGTTCAGATTCATCAGTTTGCTAAAGTGCCCTTGTCCAACAACTATGCATTTTCAAAGTTTTGTATAAGCAGTAGACAGGATGTATTATTAGAATGATATTCAGGAATCAGTTGACGAATGGAAACTTCAGCTGGTTTTCAAGGACGAATGAGTATGGTAAAACAAGCAGTATAACCCCATTTACCACGTGTGGAGATAGATTCCATCACATATCAGCTAGATATGCAGACCGGTGTACACATGTATGTAGGTTGTTGTGAATTCTTTTCTGACCTCTTTCTTTTTTGGCCCCAGTTATTCAACTGTTTTAGAGATTTTTGACGTGACTCGAGATTGTGTCTGAATCATGGGTCACCAAACTGTTGTCAAAGTGGGGCAGATAACCCAGAGAATGCCCTGCACGGGCCAGATAAACATTTTATTCAGTTGCAATACGAGGGGCATACCAAAAGGTTTTTAAACCACACAGTGAAGGAATAAAGATTGAAAACTGAAATTTGGTACTGAGCTTAATCTGTCTCTATGTAGTCGCCTCCCACAGCTATACTTTTTTGCCATCGGTGTATGACCTTGAAAAGACCTTGAAAAGACGGTCTCCAGTGATCGTATGTCCTTTTCCAAGATTGTCTGTCAGTCATAATCCCTCCTTCTTGGTCCCCCCAAAATGATAGCATCACTTTTCCACTTGATGGCTGCATCTTTGCCTTCTTTGGTGTAGGAGACGAGGGTGATTTCCACTGCATTGATCCAGATTTTGACTCAGGATCGTTGTGATGGACCCATGTCTCATCCATGGTTACAAGTCTTTCAAAAAGTTTTGTTTCACCCTTTTCATACAGTAAATAGCAATTCTTGACAGCAATTCACATTTTGCATTTTTTGAGGAGGAGTCAACAAACGTGGGACCCATCTAGCAGAAACCTTGTCATATTCAAATGTTCATTTAAGACTAGTTCAACTGATCCAGTGCTAAACCTAGTTTCTTTGCTCACTTGTTTGACTGTCACCCGCCTATCAGACAGCACACGTTTCTTGATTTTCAACACATTCTCTTCTTTTGTTACTGTAACTGGGCGACCACCACGGTGGTCATCTTCAATGTCCATGAATCCGTATTTGATTTTTTTTAAAACACAAAAGTTTTTATCTCAGCATAGGACGGGCAATCAGCTAAATATACGGCATGCATCTCAGTAAAAATATCATGTAGTTGCTTGCCTTGCAAGAACAAAAGTTTCATTACTGCCCTGTGCTCAATTTTCTCCATTTATATGTTAAAACTGGCGAACAACATACCCCAATTGACTTACAGTGCGCTGGTGTTAAAACCAGGAATACAAATTTTTCCCCATATTTACATGCATTCCAGGAAGGTACTAGTTGGCTTTCACCCCAAATTCCAGCTTTCTACCTTTAATCCTTCATGGTCAGGTAAAAAATGTTTGGTATGCGCCTCGTACACTGATGTTTTAAATGAAAGATGAGTCAGATTAAAGCTGAGCATGAGGGTGATGCATTAGCTAAAAGTTTAATGGTCTATGGAATACTTAAAATGTCTCAGTGGCTGTTTCTCCACTGTAAAGTTCAATGAAATGATTAGATAATTTTGGGGACCATGTCCTGAGCAACATCTGCTGCTATCAAAACTCAAGTTTCGTGTAAAAAAAGCAAGGAACCAAAACAAGAACATAAAGAAGGCAATTCCAAGTTAAGTTAGCCTCTTGGATGGATACAAGAAAGAGTAGTTTAAGCTGCAGGTGAGGAACACATTGCAACCTCTGGCTGATCTTGGCAGGGAGGATATGGATGTGAAGGCACACTGGACCAAGGTCAAAGGAGTCTTTATTTCAACATGTCGTCGCCTCAGAACTATTTTTTCCAAAGTGCCTCTTTACATAAGTACACTTTGGACAAAATAGTTATGAGGCGACAATGTCAAAAAGTACTCGATGAGAAGAAATAGGAGCCTAATGTTACACAATAGAACAGCGAACACGGCCGGGAATTGAGTGGAAAGTGCAGACAACTGAAGGCAGAGGTGAACGTAAGTCAAACAAGGGGGTCAAGAGCGGATGCACAAGAACAATACATGAAAACAGCTAAAGATGTCAAGAGATCGTTAAAAAGACAGGTAGGAGTTTATGAATATGTTGGCAGAAAGAGTAGAGGAAGCAGCGGCCAGAGGGCACATGAAAATCCTTTACCAGACCACAAGCACTCTTGCGGGAAAATATGGGAAACCAGAAGTATCAATAAAAGGCCAAGAGAGGAAAATCAGTTTAAA